CGGCGCGCTCGGCACAATGTAGTCACTTGTTTACAGGGACAATATTTTCATTCCGCAAACAATTCGTGGCTCGATAAAGACACGGTGTACAGGTGGGTGCTCGGCGAGGATCTAACGTTGTAACGAACGCGTCGTTGCTCGTTTGTGAACGCGCCTGTACATACATATATACACATATTGTATATACGTGTGTGTTTACGAATCTCTCAAGTAAAGTATTAGCCGACTCTAAACGCTTGAATCATCGAGTTGTGTGCCGTCGATTCCTCGACGTCGATCGCTGTATAGACGGAACGATATCCTGCGATTTTCTTTTCGCGCTTCGGGCCGGATTGGATCATAAAGCTATGAATGAGTCGCTGCTGCTCACGGGATTTCGCTTTTTATGCAAACTTATGTGAAAGTTATTTAAACAGCATTCCCTGCGAACAAATAAAGAGGTTCGCAGGCGAGGAAAGACTTCAAATCATGTTTACCACCGTTTTTGAGATATGATTTATAGTTTCGGAATATACGAATTATATTTTATAAATGACATTCGAAGAATTTTCGCATACTAGACAGTACATTTGTCGCAGAGATAATATTTTCGGAAACTTTAAACTAGAATATTCAAAATCAACATGTTTTATTAAATAAAAATATGTTTTCTTTATACGCTTTAACCTTTTATAGGATCATTCCTTTTCATTTTTTATAAACAATTTATGAGACTTGGCCTATGAGATAATTTAATAGTGTTTTATTCGAATCTGAGATCAAAAATTCAAAATAGAGAATCCAATGACAGACAGAAATTTAAAAAATAATCTGATTATCATAAAACTCAGATTTAGAAAATTTTTAATTACGAATATTAAGTTTTGCTTTATTTGAAACACACTAGTGCTACATAAACAGTATTATATATTGTTTTCCAAACTGACATCCAAATTCTAATTGTGTCCTGTGATGGCTGTGACATTAGATTCTTCTTCATTACTATTAGTTATATATTTTTTTGAAAAATTGACATTTTTAGACTCACACATTCAAAATTCTCGATGATATAAAAACCTCTTAAAATCAAGTTTCACGACAATCAATTTTTTTGAAATTTAAATTTTAGAATTCATACTCGAATTCAGTAATCCTAAGCAATTCTTAGAAAAGATTTTCTTGAAATTTTTTTTGTTAGAAAGCTCTCATCCTCAAAGAATTAAATAGGCCTGAGGGAACAACATTATTTTTTACATCAAAACTAGTACATACTTCATAAAGGGAAATAGACGTTTAATATTTAGTGAAAGCGAAAAAAAGTTTTAGTGCAGTCCAGTGCAGCAATAAAAAAGAAACCTTCGAATTCCATAGAGCTTAAAATTTCCAAGTAATTACAAAAAATGTAAAACCATTGCGTAAAATAAAGTACGTATTGTGTTTTTAAATATACTTTATTTTTTAAGTTAATATTCCCTTTTTTCTCTTTTTTTTAGAATTATCTTTTAGAAATGATCACATTGTAATAAAAAAGGAAACAAAATAGTTTCGAAAACATATCTCCTGAGATAATCTTATGACATTTACGATCGAGTGACTACAAGAATGGAAAATCTTTCTCTTTTTGAAGCATAAGGGGATGTTATCTATTAGTTCATAATGTTGTCGAAATCGGGTTACAAAATTAATAAATTAACCTTTTCAATGTATTTCATTAAAACAATTTTCTGTACAAAATTATATTATTCTTATAGCATAGGAAGTTCTTTGATTTTTCTGTAACATTTTCTGAAAAAAAAAAATGAATACTTCAAGATATTATATAATATGTTAATTATACGAAAAAAATAGTCTATAACGAGGAGTTTACATTGAGATCATCGATAAAGATTTCGCTGACAATGTTTTCATTGACATTATCTCGTCGAGACCATGTCTAGCCAGTAGTATGTACATTCACTGACATAAACATTGACCCACATATACATTTACTAACTTTTATGTACCGTTAACAAAGCACATCTTTAGATAATATCTCTCAAATATTTCCATTTAAAAAGCATAAATATTATTTCGTACTTACACTCTATGTTTTATCTTCGTTGCATATTCGATTGAACTCGCAATTAATTCGTCCTCTTTGTAACGATAGAATTTTACCTATTCTGCGGGAGTTTTGTTTCCAATGATCGAAAATTTCTGGTAAAAATAGAATGCATTTGTTCGCAATGAATGCGAACGTCTGCGAACATACCAATATTGCTGAAATTTGGTGTCAACGAAATGGTTTCAACGAACATATTGTCGGCAAACTCTTTGTCGGTAACTCTTTGTCTTCAATGTAATAGGTTCACTCACAAAAAAATCAGGTATAAGGTATACGATCAGATATATACGCACCAGGTATACGATCATAAAACATAAAAAAGATTACAGTAAGAGATTCAGTAAGATAATTCTCAAAACTATTTGGAAGAGGGCATAATTAGTTTCATAAAAATCTTTTTTATTGAATTTTCTCGTAAATAAGAACATGAAATAATTTTATACATCTGCATTCTTTCTTATTTTTATTTCAGACTTTTTTTTCGTAATGCTATACGGTATGAGTAGGTTAATTCCGTAATATGCCGAAATAATTTCTAGTATGTATCATGCAACTTTAATTGTAACAATTATATAAGTGTAGAAAGAATAGTTGAAAGAAATATGCATGTTATCTAGTGCGACCGTTACGTGCTGTCGGTTACTCCCCGTCGGCTAATGGACGCCATGTCGGAGGACGCCGACGGGATCGATCAGAGAGAGAGCAAAATGACGCAGCTATTCATTGTCATAAACGTTTTTTAGCTCTCAATACAAGCTCTCAATGCGCTTCACATAAATTTTCGACATTTTTGCATCAAGGGATGAAGATAGTTGTAATATTTATTATTTTCTATTCTTTCGAATTTATTCAATATTAATAACTGCAATTCTTCGATATTTATTAGTTTTTTTAAATGTTTAATAGCGAGTTTAATGAGAGATGTTAGAATCTGGAGAATAAATATCTTCAGAAAAAGAATAGAATCTCGATAAGCATTTTTGTTTTTGAAAATTATTATTTGTTAGAATTGATGTAAGATCGACAATAACAAGATTTATCACGGCACCCTCTTTTAAATAAGTTTCAAAACAAATATTTAAGAAAAAAAATAAAGCCTTTTATAGAATATTGTGATTTCATTGAAAGTATTGTCATAGATTAGACACATAATGCGTCTTCAATCTTTTTTCTCAGATATCGTAATAAAAAACAACAATAATTTCGACATAAGAAAGTAATGGAAAAGTTAATTTCTTATACATATACAGTTGTATTTCAAAGAAAATATTTTTACTTCCTTGAATAACAAATATTTTGATTAAATCTAGAATAGTTAATAAATAAATTACTCTGCATTGTCTGAATATTGTAGAATAGGACCTATTCTATAACTCCAGTATGTTATAGAATAAATTTTCAATCTTATTCTGATTTGAAACTTTTTATCTTCTTCATTACTAATAATTCTCATAAATTACATATATTTTTTCAATACTATGTTGTATTGATTAGAAAGAATTTTAGATAATTTATATATATATTTGATGTATTTGCAATGTGAATTCAAAAGATAGCATATTGACTTATAGATAGCATATTCACATTGACTTGACAATTAAAGTAAAAATTCATTTTTATTCGGTAATATCTTGAAAAGAATCGAGGAATAATTTAATATTTTGTTAATAAGAAAAAAATTAAACCTATTTGCTTACATTGATAGTTCTGTCAGAAGTTTATCTTATCTTAAGTAAATTCCTTTAAGTTATGACATTATTGAGACAAAGCATTGACACATTCTTTGTTCACGTGAGAAGGGCAGAGATATTTTCGAAAAATTAGAAAAAATAACTATCAGAATCAATTAATTATTTATGCTTCAGGATATGCTTGTGTGTAGATAGTAAATGACACGCGATAACATTTACGCAAAAAAAGAGATCTCGTGGAGAAAATTATAATGACGTCAATGAAAATTCAAATGAGATCGTAGGTGGAGAATGTAGGTAGACATAGGTATAGCTTAATGCAAAGCGTTTGTTTCTCTTTCCTATAAAATACTTAGACACTTATCTAACTCACTTATTTTTTATCTAGTAAAGTAAATGCAGTTTCAAAAGGTGACAGAGAAACTGAAAGATGTCCACTCGATATCAATACGGGAAAAGAATTAGAAAATTTCGAATCTACATCATGGCATATCAATTGACAAAAGAGCCTTTTATATAAATATATGCAAAAGAGACGTTTGACAGTAATGTCAAATGATATAAATGAATGAGCGAACTTACAGCGAGCGAGTAAAGCAAGTCATAACGCGCATTTAAATTTTTGATAGAAATGAAAGGCATTATTTTAAGCCATGTATAATCCAACCAATTCAATTCAATCTTAGAGATTCACTTTAGACTTATATAGTTTACTATACTCATCAGATTATATGATTGAATGAGAGAAAGAGATAAAAAATTTTTAGACAAGATAAAAATGGATAATGATGATTAGAGATTTTAATCCAAACTTTGCATGCGAACTAAGAATTCGTACACTCTTCTTTAGTCTAATAAATGCATAATAATAATTAATGTGAATCACTAATACAAAATACGAAGGTTATATTGTCGTCAATGCATACAAATTTATGTGAAAGTTTGACTATTGTTATTAAGAAAGATCAAATATTATTTAAAGTTCTTTTTCATATAGCTTCTGAAAACATTTGTTAAATCTCTCTCTCTTGTAATTACATCATATATTCAAATAAAAATATCACATCATTTTCATTTGATATATACAAAGTCTATGAAATATACGATCATAAATCTGATATAAAATCTATAGTATAAAAGCATAATAACGAATAAATAAGAATACATAAAATGATTGATTTATAGCAATACAACTAGAAAATGCATATCGTATTATACTTATGTACCCCACGTAGTATATTCCAAACTTTCCATCCGACGATTCCATAGCGACTCACGTGGATCAACCGGTCTTCTTCGCGGTCTCCATTGGACACTATCTCAAATAGTTCACCTCGTTCACGTCAGATTCACTTGTAAATTAACGAAACGATACCATGAACCGATCAACGTTACTACTCCAATTCATGCATTATTGTAAAATAGTACCGATTCGACAGGTCGGAAAGAAAAAGATGAAACGCGAGTAACAATTGATCGGATGAAGCGAAAATACACGTCACCGGAAATTGTTGGCAAGATCGTCCGCGAGAGAAGACGCGTAAGGGCGCGTCACGTACGCACGCACGGACGAAGGTGGCAGTTATCAAACGCGTGGCAGACGATAACATGACATGGGATAGAGGAGCTGTGCCGAGCCATGCCGTGGCGCGGCTGTTGCGGTCCGGCTTGATTCAGCACGGCACGACACGGCGCGGCACGGCACGGCGCGGCGCGGCGTGGCGTGGCGTGACCACGGCGTCGGAGGGGAGGAAAAGGCCGTGGCGCGCCACGCACGATCCAACGACGTGCGATTCATACTGCGATCGGGAGGACTGCCGGGCGCGTCGAAGCTATCGTCAGATTGGTCGGACGAAACACGAGCGGAAGTACGGCTGGTCCGCGATTGGTCGACCCGGGTACGTCGGGCGCGGCTCTCACAGCCGATGGTGGGGTATATTTGAACAAGAGCCGCCGACTCAAGAGTAGCGGAGTACACTCGCTAACCGGCCTCCATCCACAACACGGCACACAGAGAGAGGAGAGAGAAACTCGTTGGTACGCGAGGCGGAGTGTGTGGTGAGAGGTGGTGAGGCGGCTCAAACAGCAGCCCCGCTCGATCAAATAACCGACCGCGCGCGCGACCGACGAGCGGCCGTCACCATATAGTGGTTGGTGTTGTTTCGCGCACTCGTCCACGTCGTACAACACGCGAGCGAGAGCCTGGGCTCTTTTCCTGTCGTCGGCTTTGCCCTCCATGGTGTTGGGGTAACAATTACCCCTAACTCTCCCGCGGGGGGGTACCTACTCACTTTCGCGCTCGCGTTTGCTCCCGTCAGCTTCGTGTGCATCGAATGCGCATCTTCCCGTGAATAAACGGACTGTGCATTGTGTTCCGGGAAGAAGAGGCATAAGAGGTGAATAAAGTTCACCAGGTGCCACCTTGGTACTCGTCGCTCTCTGCTAACGCAGTACGCGCTCCCAACTCCTTCCAAGATTCTGTAAAGATACGCTCTCGTAACTTTTCTTCTCGCGTAGAAAGGAATAGCGTTTCTGCTCCAGGTTGTGACAAAAGAAAAAGTTCCGTCAATACAGTGCCGTTCAGTGCATCACCGCTCTGAGGAAGAATATTTGGTGAAGTTCTTCTTTCTGGTGAAGTTCTTCTTTCTTTAAGTGTGAGGCGAATTCTTCAGGCACTCGTCGCGCATCTCTCCGTGAGTCTTCTGTGCGTATAACGATCATTTCTTGTGATTTGTGACTCAGCAGCGATAGAAGACTAGAATTAGAGAATTCCTCGATTATAGCGAGCTGAGCGCGCGGACCGATATCAGATTCATCCGGTGGAAAAATTAAGGGAATACCCGACTGCCAGCAGCCGTGGTACCGCGGATTTCATGATTCTCGTTTGACAGCGACGACGCGACAGCAGGCCACCCCGGCACCGGTGAGCTCTATGACCATGCTTCAGTCGCAAAAGCTGTACGGCGATGCGGGTGCCATGACCAGTGCCGCAATGTCCAGTATGGGCAGCATGGCGCCCACGTACAGCTCGATAAACTCAATGGGATGCGTACCGATGGGCATGTCGATGGGAGTCGGAGTCGGGCCCAGCTGCAGTCCTCAGGGCGCTGGAGGTTTTAACATGAGTACCATGAGTTCAGCAATGGGAATGGCGTCGATGGGAGGCGGCGGGATGAGCGGTTACAGCGGTGCTTCCATGGGTGCCGGCGGTGCCTGTATGAGTGCCGTCGGATACGGTCCGTTGACTCCCGGCGGAGGCACCGGCGTCAGCCGGGATCCTCTCGCTCTAACAGAACCGGACTCGCCGAATTCAGCTCTACAGCGTGCCCGCAGCGACAAGTCCTATCGACGTAGTTACACTCACGCGAAGCCACCGTATTCCTACATCAGCCTGATCACCATGGCGATACAGAATGCGCCTCACAAGATGTTGACTCTCTCGGAGATTTATCAATTCATCATGGATCTGTTCCCATTTTACAGGCAGAATCAGCAGCGTTGGCAAAACTCTATTAGGCATTCCTTAAGCTTTAACGATTGCTTTGTCAAGGTGCCACGTACGCCGGATAAACCCGGTAAAGGATCATTTTGGACTCTGCACCCTGACAGCGGTAATATGTTTGAGAATGGTTGTTATTTACGACGTCAAAAGAGGTTCAAGGACGAGAAAAAAGAGCTGACCAGACAAAGCAACAAACACCAGCAACATCAGCATCAAGCGGCAGCTACGGTAGCGGTGGCAGCTGGCGCGACCATCGCCGGTCAACACAGTCCATCCACTCACGAAGTCGCGCCCGGTTCCAAGAAGACCGGTTCGTCCATCCACCATGGCGGCCCACAGCCGCAAGACGATAAAGACTTGCACTCGTTGGTGTCTTCGCACCATCACCATCACACGAGTCTGCATCAGCATCACACCGCTCTGAAGAGTGACACGGACATTGGCGGTCTTCTCGGACCCGATCTCAGCGCTGCACACGACGAACTCACCGCAATGGTCAGCCGCGGTATTCATCCGCAACTATTGTCCGATACCGCGAGCCTGCATCACGGCATGACAGGCAGCCTGAAGCAGGAACCGCTTTACGGAACGGCGGCCAATCATCCGTTTAGCATCAACAGGTTATTGCCGCGCGATACGGCGGGCACTTCTCCCGGTGCTCAGGATACCAAGCCGCCCGAGATGAAGATGTACGAGCAGCTGCATCAGAGCTACGCTAACTTTGGTTCGCCGCATCATCCGCACGCGCATTCAGCGCCGCCCAGCCATCATCATCACAACGGCATGCACGCCGGTACAAACGCCGCCGGGCCAATGCACATGACGAATCATCATCATCAGGAGTATTATCAGAGTCCGCTTTATCATCACGCGACAAGCGTGGCCACCACCAGCGCTCCTCCGCCGCCCGCTGTCGCCACCGCGGCACCGGGCTTGTGACATCACGCTACCCACCCTTACGCTTTGGCCTGAGTTGCTGCCGCCGCGGCTTACGTCGCGACCGCTGCCGCACCGATACCAACCCCGATGCCGGATTTGCCCGCGATCACGGCGTCCGCGACCAACGTGGCGCCGACGTCGCCTGCGACCTCCTCGACCTTCTCGTCACCACCGCGAGCACAGCCACGTCGACGCGCACGTCGTACCGACAACACTGATGATGACGCCGTCGACGCCGTTGTCTGTTGGCCACCCGATGATGACGATGAGTACGACGATGAGAACGAGGACGAGGAAGAGGAGAACATCGTCTACAGACGGTAAACTCGCCGAGAGGTAGGCTTCGGGGTATTTCACGGAGAATTATGGTTCATCGTCACGAGGATTGACATATTTTATGTTACTGCGTAATTGTTGGGCGAAATATTCTAGAGATTATTCTTATTAATTATAAGTAATATGTCTTCACATTACATGTAAAATATATGTAATATAATATTATTATTATTACTTTGATATATTCATACACACATTATTCAAGTTGCTTGTCAGAGAATCTAAAAATATTTCCTAAATTACTATTCTCTTTATAAAGAATTTTTGTATTCATATCCACACAATTTACTATTTATTCTTATAAGAAATAGAATAAAAAATCAATTTACATTATTATAAATAGATTAATATAAAGATGGAATTATCTTTTATACGTTACACAATAACTGATGAATATAGATTACATGAAAATTAATTTTTTTACATAACTATGCAATAGTGCGAAAAAAAGTAAATTTTTATATAGTTTGTATTTGTATTTTATATAAGTTTATATTTTTATACATTCATTGTCATTGATCAAAATTATCTCTAAAATTCGTTATATTTATAGTTTATCATTTATTGCATTTTCTATGAAGCTGCTTCTAGAATATTTAATAATAAAAGAGAATATGGATACGCGAGTTTAAATAAATTTGTAGAATATTATTCACATTCTTAAATATGCCCAAAACTTTAAGGAGGTCACGAATATAATATGTATTATGTTCAGAAAACAAGAAAGCAGATAGGGAAATAAATATTTACATGTGTACGATCTATTACATTTGCTTAAACTTATGTCCGTTACTGTGTGTTGTCACTTAACTGACAATGACTTCGTAAGCATCGTTTCAAGTACAATTGCAAACAACAATCGTGATAGAGGAGATTAAAACCCACTTTAGACGACATCTTTAATTCGTGAGAGAGTACTAATTCATAATTTTTTGGCGTACAATAACGAGAACGTTTGAGAGTCGAAATACACGGCGTATAAAATTGTGAATGGAATTTTGTTCTTATTGAAACATTTTACAATTACAAATGTGTTTCGTGGGAAAGTATCTCTACGTTTTTTTCCTTCTATTTCGAATGTTTGGTTATAACTTATCTTAATGTTATCTTTATTTCATAATCCACCCATTGAATTTATCTGCTCTGTATCGGGGATAGGTGTTCGGAGGAAGTATTTGAATGATCGGCACTGAATCATCCTGCATTCCGTATTCCCGTTTATCAAAGCTGAGCAGTTTGATATCATCGTACGAGTCCGCTGTATCGCAAGAGAGATTTTTATGATATATTTGAGTAACATCGACATACTCTTAGGCAATTAGATGCTGTGCATCTCGTCGGTACTCTATTTCTTGCACATCATCACATCAAGAGATTATGTAATAATCCGACACATACTTGAGTATTTACGATCGTCTTCCATCGTTTTACCATCTTCGAGTTAAATTTACAAAAATTTTGTTTAACAAAATTAATAAAAAGAAAACAAAACTGAAAAGGAACGCAAAAAAGAAGACCAAAAGTATATTTTATACAATCGTATTAAATAAAATTTAATATCGACTCTTCTTGATTTTATGTCTTCTTGGTTTTTATTCAACGACAATTTCACTTTATTCAATCATTTCAACATGATTCACAATTACGAAATTCAAAATTATTTCGTTTTTCTTCTTATGCTCGCCTTTTTATTACTCATATATAAATAATTTCATTATAATTTTTATAGAATTGTTTATATGCAAAATCAATTTTTCCAATGAAATTATATGTATGTATCTTTAACATAATAGGTACATACATTTTATACATATATTGAATATTAAATGACCGACGACGTTTTATATAAAGAAAGTGAGATTTTATATATGGAAGATAAGACAATATGAAACGAAAAAAAAGCAAGCAAAGAAATGA